CCTGCTCTCGTTGTTTTCGAGGTCGCCCAAGAGGAAGAGCCGGTCCGGGCGGAGGAGCCGGTCCCCGCGCGGCAGGAGGAGCCGCAGCCCGCACCACGCCGCCGTGAAGGTGAAGCAGGTAAATCGCGTTGTCGGTAGCAGCGAGGCCCGGTCCTGCCCGCGGAGGGGTTGGCGGGGCCTTGCGCACTCCCTGGCTCCGCTGCGCCAGCTGTTCCTGTGGGAGTCGGCCGTCCGAGGTACAAAAAACGACTTCTCACCTGGCGGGTATTTTCTTCTAGTCCTTGTGGTGTGTCGTGTTGGGAAGAGAGGGATCTTGGTAGTTTAACAGCTCGTGCTGCCCATCTCAGGCTTTGCCGTAAGCAACTGGGTGTTCGCAGGTGTGTGTGAACCCAGCCTTTGCCACTTAGGCAGGCTATCCCTGCAGGCTTCTTGACGTGCCCAGAGCAGATGATGCATCGCGCTGTTTATTGATCTTGCTTTGTTCTGTGCAAATTGTAGGGATCCAAATAGTTTGGCAAGGAGATAAGTTTCTCTCACTTTGTGTAGGATCTGCACACAACACGTCCGAGTACGCGTTTTCCATGTGTAGGATTGTGATTTTCTTAAAAGCTGAGGTAGATTCACTGCTCTTTCATTCTAATTCTGAATACGTCACTATAAGCGATTCTTCATTACAGGAGCGAGATGATCATTGTCGTAGAGGAAATGAGGAGCGAAAGCAGAGACACCCATCAGAACAAGAACACAGGAGAGAGAGAAGTGGTGACAGAGATAGATACAGAGACCACTCAGACAGAAAGAAGAATCCAAACGAAAGGCCTGGAGGTCGAGGCCACGAGCGAGAGAGGGATGTTCAGAACATCCGTGAGCAGCAAGCAGAAAGGGAGTTTTATAACGAGAGAAGACGAGAGCATCGACAAAATAATGAAGGCAGTGGTGTTGACCAGAATCCAGAACTCGGGCAATCTGATAAAAAACCTAAAGAAAAAGCTTCTGTAAACAAAGAGAAGCCAAGCTTTGAACTGTCTGGTGCGCTTCTAGAGGATACCAACACGTTCCGAGGTGTTGTGATTAAGTACAGCGAGCCCCCCGAAGCTCGGATTCCGAAGAAGCGATGGCGCCTCTATCCCTTCAAAAATGATGAGTTTCTCCCCGTCATGTACATTCACAGGCAGAGTGCTTATCTTCTGGGCAGGCACCGCAGAATCGCAGATATTCCAATTGACCACCCCTCCTGCTCAAAGCAGCATGCTGTGTTTCAGTACCGGTAAGTATTACTCTGCCTGCTGGTGAAACAGGATTATTCAGGAACTTCTGAAGAAAACAAATAAACAAAAAACCCTGGATATGCACAGCTGAGAGGTACGAGTTTGCTGTAAGTACATTAGAGAGAGGTGGAATTTATGTTTGACTGCTGCATATCATCCTAGCAGTAATCAAAAATATCTGTAATTCCTCTCATTTAACCACAAGCAGCCTTTTAGTAAGACAAATAACACAGCAGGGTTAAACACAGAACTGTGTGTATGTCTGAATTGGAATAAACCAGCAGGTGTAATTGGCAGTAAAAGTATTACGAGGGGAGGATTTTTTCATTCGGTCTTTCACAACAAAGTCTGCTGATCTCCTCTGAAGCAGCAGGGGTTGCCTGCTGCTGAAGACAAAGATGCTCTCTTAGGGAACAGCCATCTGTTCTGTTGTAGGAATTACTGTGTTATATCATCAGAAGTTTTAGAAGGTGATGCAGTCTGTCAGAATCTCACACACTTTCTCATTGCTCTCATCAGACTTGTTCAGATCTCTGCAAGTACAGCTAAGTATTAACTGCACTGGGGCTCATGTGTTGGAAAACCCATCTGCTTTTAGAGTACGTTTTCTGTCTCTCGCTATTGTGATTGAAATGGTGTTTTTTGTTTTGCTAGGCTTGTGGAGTACACTCGTGCCGATGGTACCGTTGGCCGCAGAGTAAGGCCCTACATCATCGACCTGGGCTCTGGGAACGGCACTTTTCTAAATAACCAGCGGATTGAACCTCAGCGTTATTATGAACTAAAGGAAAAGGACGTACTGAAGTTTGGGTTCAGTAGCAGGGAATATGTTCTTCTCCATGAATCTTCAGATAAATCTGAGGCCAACGCAAAGGACGATGATGATGAGGAGGAGAAGGAGGAAGAGTCTGACAGTTAACAGATGAGGAGGAAGTTGAGGGGGGCAGGGGAGAGAAATTCTTTGCAGTTGAACATGCGTTGGGATGTAAACATTGGAGCATCGCAGCACAGATGCCTCTTATTGCCTTAAAGTCCGTTTTCTGTTGCTGATCTGTTCTCGTAGTTTATTTTGGGGGACTTCACTCATTATTCATCTTTGATAGTTCTGCATATCAGGAAATACAGCTGGTTTTTTTTCCCCCGCTTTTTTTTTCCCCCGACAAGCAAAAGAGAACCTGAATGTGAAAGCTCTGATGCCCGAAATACTCAACAAACATTGAAAGACTGTCCTCTTCTAGGAAACGATGTAAAACACAGCTGGCATATTTAAAATTATTTTTATTAACTGTTTTGTCATAGCCCTTTGAAAATGCTACTTAACTGAAATATTAGTTAAAAAGTAACCCAATGCATTTTGTAACATGTCTCGTTTGGCAGAGTTTGCCAAATTCCTTTGCCTGTTAGGAGTTCTAGACAGGAGAATTTACCAGGCTCGCTACTAAAAAGGTGGAAATGTTGCAAAGCCCCTCTTGTATTTGTATGTTTTGGGTAGTTAGTTTGCCTTGTGATAACTGTCAGGGAGGGGCATTTCACTGGAGTACACTAGCTGAAAATTAACAAGGTAATTTGAAATAGAAGTTAAACGCTTCCTGGGATTTTAGGTGATGATACTGTGATTTGGGGCTGAGGTCTAGGTCGGTGTCTGCCCAGTATGTGTTCCAACATGGGATGCTGAAACTGTTACTGGATGTTGAGTCTAAAGCTGGGGCCGTTGTTTCTGATACCACCCCTGCCCCATGAATAACTCCTCCTTGTTTTTGTTTGTATTACGCATAGATACCTTTTATGTGGTGACACGTTTTAGCCAGAGTTTGCACTATTTAAGTTTTCTTTTTATAAAAAGTTACACAAGTCACTTGTTTAAAATAGTCTTCTCCCCTGTAAAAGAAAACAATGCTTTAGGTAAAGAGAAAAAACAATTCCACTCACTGAAAGTACTTGCATCTTGCATATTTTTGGATGTCTTCTCCCCATTGCTTTATGGTATAAGAAATGTATATTTTCCACACTGTTTACTAATTTGCCTGGATGTTTGTTCTGTGGTCAGAAGCTATTCATACCTGCTGTGTACATACATTGTGTATACAAGTGTTGCGTATTGTATACACAGGCTAGAACATTTATGGTGTAAATATGGGGCATTGATGTAGGTTTTCAAACGGTAGGTAGAATGAGTTTTGACTAGGAGGATCTCCTTTATATATACTCTAGGGGTTTTTAAATAAAGAATTTGTAAATTTAGCCCTAATTACTTTTAGTTGCCGTATTTTTCTAGTGTCCTTTTTTTTTCCTTTATGTTCCTTGAAAGAGACTGTCAGTGCTCATTTCGGTATTAAGGACACCAAATAAGTCAAAAAAAAAAAAAAAAGGCGTGATTTGTGTACTTGAGAGGCTGTGAGTGTGGAGGGATGGGTGCGAGGGTTTGTACCGCACCCCTCTGCTCCCACCTTTCTGACCTGAGCGTGGCCCGGGTGGCTTGTTCTGCCTGCAGGCTGCTTGCCCCACGGGGCAGGTTGACGCTCAGAAATACAAAATCGCCATGCGGTTTAAGCCAGAGGTGATCAGTACCGTGGAAGGGCAAACCGGCCCCTCGGGTTTAGTCTAACGCGTGTAACGAGCTTGAAGCCGGCTAAGGAGAGTTTGAATGAATGGGACAAACGTGCACAAAGTCGAAATGACCAGTTTTGAACGCGCTGTTTTCCCACAACGGGGAGGCGCGGAGCTGGGACGCGTGCGGCTGCGGTGGACGAGGGAGACAAAACACCGCCCTGCCTCGGCGAGACCCCGAACTCCGCCGGATTTGTCCCGGT